ATATTCAGTCTCTATGTCAAAAAGTTAGATTGCAATATTTGTTGCCTTGGATACTTTGCCACAGCTGGGACATAACCAAAATTTGCAGGTATCAGATTTCAAAATCTGTAAGTTTACAAATCTAATCATTTGCAGTAGTTTAAAACTGCCAAGAAATTTTATATGTAATTTTTTATCTATTCAGGTACTTTTGAGGCAGTACCTTTATTCAAATTAGCTTGTTACATAATTAAATTTGAATGATAATAAAGTATTTTTGTAGTTGTGATTTTTTTTTTCTAGTGGAATTAATTTTGCTGTGCATTTTTTTCATAATTGGAAAGCTCTCAGAGAAAAAAAATTTTAGGCAAGAAGGTTGTATGTTTCAACACCCAACTCTCTAAGTCATTTTTAATGGTTCCTATCAATCCATACACATTGTGAAAATGTAGGTTCCACCAGAAAAGTAAAAACAAAAAAACAACCAACAAACAAAAAATAAAACCAAAAGCAAATGAATAACTTAGTTAAAAGTTAGGAGTATTAAAAAAAAAAAGATAATTTTTCATAATATTCTAATATATATTTTTAGAAAAAGATCAAGATTTCAGACTTTCCACAATGGTCTATATTACAATGTATCTTAGACGTAAGAACCTGCACGCAGACCTATTAATTTCCTAACACCCGCTTATGCATTGCCTTTGGCTGTGCTATCCGTCCTGTACCACTAACATGTCTATATGCTATGCATACATTCCTTTACTCTTCAGTCTCCATTTTTTTGTAACACCCAAAATATTGCATTTTAATACATTACCAAAAAAGGTAAGCAAGACTCTAACTAGTTAAAGAATGCAGCTACACATGATCAAATGCTGAGTGTCTATGCACATGACTTCTCTTCTACATCTCTTTTTGTGCAATAGATATACACAATTGTTACAGCCATTTCATGCTAAAATTATATGCTTGGAAAATTCAGAAGATTCTTCTTTTTGAATTACTGTTACTATACATGTCTCTCCATAAATGATGGCATTCTGGAGTTCCTATAAAACAAACTCACTGCTCATTACTATACTGACTGTATTGCAATTTTATATTGAGTTATCTTACTGATAATTGTTTTCTGCTAGATTTTGCCTAACATTTAAACTGAAGAAAAAAAAAATCCACATTCATTTATCGAAATGATGTCATGTGCCAAGTGTAACTATTTCTAGAGCAGGTCATCTATGTCTAGAGAAAGTTTATTTCTTCAAAATGCTGAGATGAATCTACACTGAATCTTTGAGCCTGTCTTATTAAACAGAAATAGGCCAGAGGACAGCTACTTGATGCAAGATTCTATTTTATGAGTGTCAAAAATGCTGGCTGTCCTGCCCTGTAGTCAAAGAGCAAATAAAGGTATTGTTAATGTGAGAAAGCAAACTATTCACAATTTTAAATTACTCTGTTGTCATCTTTTCCCTGTAATTATGTTGCCCTAGAAAATGAAAAAAAAAAAAACAAAAAAACATCAAAACATTTACACAGAATTGGAACTGTGGGCTATGGGGAATAAAGTTTTAGCAACAAGAACATTGCTGAAGGATTTTAGAGTGCTCTATCTCTCCTCAAGCCAGCTGCCATGGACAGCAAGAAGAACAGGTCTCAAACATCAAGAAAATATAGAAACAATTTTTATTATTATGCTTCCATACCTCTCTTTCTTAATAGATATTCTAAGTCATCTGCTTACCTAGTTGCTAAAGAGTCCCATGCCTTCTCCAACCTGTACACTTGTCAAGCTTCATAGGAAACGACAAAAAACTTTTAATATAATTCCCCATATTTAAAACTAAATAAATAATGCAAAAAAACAGTTCATCCATTTTGCTTACAAAACATATAGACTACATTAATAATAGGATTAAACTGCTGCAGAAAAAAACTGTTCCTGTGGATACTGGTGAGACATGCATGTACTTAACATCTGCAAAAATAGACTCCCTTTTGCAAACTGGATAATTTACATTCCCGTAATTATTATGGCATCTGATTATCTCAGTTTCTAAATCGTTTTTGTTTCTCAGGATGTGATGGATAGCAAAATTCTTCTGCCAGTTTGCTCTATTCATTTTCTGTAAACAAGTTCTGCTTTCAGAGTTCCTGGATGGATGTTAAGGTACCTAATAGCAGTACAGCACAGAGTTATGCGCTTATCCGTGCCTACCCTGGAAGTATGTACTTATTTATTCTGCTTTGGTTTCCTTTGGTAAATTAAGTTTTTGGAATGCTTTTGCTCAAGACACTGTTTACTTTCAAAATTTCTGATTACAATTAAAGCCTGAAAAAAAGTCTTATCTAAGTATACATTGCTGTTGATCTTTTAGCTGAATTTATGTCTGGCTTTAGAGATCAGCAAGTAAGAATTTTGCTCAAAATAAACGAACTGATTAGTTAATACATTGACAAGCTTCTGCAACCTTAATTATGAGTTAGAGAAGAAAAATTACATACTTTTTGAATTTAAAATGTTTGACAGCTAGATAGAATTGTGAGGGGTTGTCTTTGTAGGCAAACACAAAGTTTAGTTAGAACAATATTATGGCTATGGCTCTGAGGGGAGCTGATGTAAGACTCCTGTAAACTTCTTTCTGCAGCCATCAACGCCTGAATATTTTAATGCGCTAAACAAACAGAATAAAATGCCTGGGATATGAATATATAGAATAGCTAAAATTACAATATAAAAGATTAATTTAAATTGGCAAATCTGTAGAACTTTTGGAGTGACAAAGGTTTTGTCCCCAGAATATCCCTACATCAGCAATATTTAAGGAAGTTGAAAACAACTACTTTGATAACAGCAGTAAGAAAATCTACTGTTAGGTCTTGAGTTTTGCTAAAATTAGTCACGACATTTCTACATTTAAGAGTGGCTTACCAGGAACAGGCCAAGACACATCAGGAACCTCCTGAATTTGACAAGGTTCCTATGGACTTGCTACATTACAGTGCATGTCTGTTCCATGAATTTGTTAATATGCAAATTTTTGAACTCATGTAAGCTTCATTAACTACAGCAGGCAAAACTACAAACTGCATTCTGATTCATTTTGAACCTGCCTTCTGCCAGTTTCATCTGTTCTTGCACTGCAAAACTGCACAATCCTGTCCACATTCACTGTGCCACGCTGGACTTGATAGACCTTTCTCATACCACGTGCATCTTTTTCCAAAATACAGTTTTCTGCCTTACTTCACCATTTGTTCTATGAAATATGTCATACTGACAGTCTTCTGCCTTTCTCTGTATCTTTCCATTTCAACCAGAGCTTCCAAACCCTCTGAAGTATGAGAATCAGCACTGTATGCCATATTTAAATACATGCAAGAAAAAAATGTTGTTCAGTTTTCTATTTCTTGCTTAAAAACACTTTCCTTGTTCAACTGATGATTAAGACTGAACTTTTATTTTCATTAAATTACCTGTTATTATACTAAGTTCTTACTCCAGATTATTAATGGTCTATTTAAACCGATAACTTTATATGAAAAGCTATTTTTTTTCTCCATATGCATTTTACACTAGTTTACACTGAATTTCATCTGTGATTTTGAGTTCAGTCATTCAGTCTGGTAAGGCTTTTATATTGTTCTAAGATCAACTTTCACCTTTAAGACTGTCAATAGTTTAATATTAGCAGGATTTCTCATCATACTGCTCATTGTCTTTCCCAACTCATTTATAAGTACGTTGAATAGCACAGTACCAGCAGAGGTCCTTCAACCTTCCTGCTATCTCTAGCCTGAGAAAACAAATAATTTATTCCTAATCTCTGCTTCTTGCCTCTTAACCAATTGCTGATCCACCATGTTCATGTTCCATATTCCACATTCTAAGAAACAATTAGTTTCCTTAGAAACTTCTAGGGAAAAACCTTGTTAAAAGTCTTCAGCAATCCAGGCAAGCTTTACCAGTTGCATCGTATTTGTTGATCTCTTCAGAGAGATTCAACAGGTTTACAAGGCAGGTCATTGCTATAAAAAAGACACATTAATTTTTTGCTGGTATATCATACACATTCAGGTTCCCATGATTAAATAATTATTGCTATTACCTCCTAGTTTTGACAATACACATCTATGGCTTTTTGGCATATTAAACCCTTTTAAGAAAAATTGCATCACCTTTGCTACTCTCTAATCACCAGTTAACAACACCTTTCTTCTACACGCAGGAAGGTTCTGGCACGGGAACTAATGAAGTTCTTTCTATAACTAAATTGATCCACGGTGAAGCAAAAGGAGAACTTAACGGACAATCCTGGGCTCCCAGTGTGGATTTAAGTTAACTTTTTTTGTTTCTCCTTTCAAGCAATTTTACAATTTGTTCATGATTTTAAAAACATTAAAAAACATTTAAAATTGAGTAATTTGGAGGCAAATTGGTTAGCAGTTTATTTACTTTGCATGAATTATTTCTTGCAGTGAAAACTTCATAATGAAGCTTGACAAGTTGACAAGAAGCCAGCCAGACTCAGAACAGTGGTAGTTAGCTCCAGAAACACATTTACTCCCAAGATTAATTTGCATTGAAATTACCTAAACAGCACACAAAGATATATTTCTACCATCTTTTGATCCAGAAATCAAGCCTAAGATGTAGTAACATTTTTGTTCCCTGAAAAAAAAGTATCGGAAAAAGCACAGGTCTTATAGCCTCATTTACAAATAACCAATCTGGTGTTATGAGTTCATGACAACACTGAGAGTTTTCACCATGTTGGGCCTTGACTGCGTCTTTAATTAATCCATTTCCTTGACAAACAAAGAAGTCTCAGGCAGTTTTAACTGACTCAGAGATGTTACACTTCAATTTCCCATATGTGCCACTCACCTCTTGACTGTCCCCCTTCTTAAAAGTCAATCTTCTGGGAGAATGAGATGTTTTTGTGCTGTTTGTAGTGGTACTGCTCATAAAAACGCACATGTGGGAGGTTACAGTTTGGGAAAGGAGGACAAGGACTTACCTGCTGCTTTGGCAACATCTGCGGTTGAAATGTTTTCGAGGTTTGAGTGCACTCTGAAGGTCACAGCTGGTCCCAGCACACTGGAAGAGATTATTAAAAAATGTAAGATTCATAATCAAGAGAAATGGCAGAAGATTCCTTATTAAAATAGGTTTTTAAAGAGAACCTATTAAGATACCATTTAGCCTTCATCCTTTTGCTTCATTAGCTACATTTGCATACATTTTTTTACCTCTTGTGGTTTCTTATGTCTACCTCATGCCCATCTGAAAGAACTTCAACAATAAGAACAAAACTTCAAAACAGAACACTCCTGTAAATAATATTCTTGCTATGAAGGTAGCAAAATGGAGGCACTTAAATTGTTATTCACCCAAGTACAGCCTAGATCATGGCTGGAATTCAGCATCCAAAGAAGATTACATTTAATTTCAAATTTAATATGCCTAACATCAATAAAAGCTTAGTCCTGTTGTCACAACTGTAAGTCAGAGGGACTGTAAAGAACCTCAGAATATTTATCTTGACCATGTTCTGAAAGAATATGTGTAGGGACAAGATTTTGGACATATATAGTCCAATGGCTGGTTTTGAACAAAAAGATATAACAAAGTATTTATCTTTTAAAAACAGGGGTAGTCACCTCTTCGAATAATTTATGAGGGAAAATTATGACTCTGTGGCAACTTTTTTGGGTGCAGCTTGACAGTTCTTGATGGCATTAAAATCTGTAAGGCATTTACAAATTTACTGATTAGTCAGATGAAGAACAGTAGAGCAAAATACTCAGGGTTTCACAAAAATTTTCATGGTGCATTTTTAAAGAAAAATAATTCCATATACGTAATGTTGTATTAATTTTCCACCCATCTTAATAATATCCACCTTAGATGCACATCTGATGAAAGGAATGAAGAAATATTAGTTCTGATATGCTTAAAACTACAGTAAAGTACATATATGTGATAAACATAAGAAAAATACACACGTACATAAATAGAGGAAATGTAGTTTTGAAGAAAATTTCCAGGAGACTATAGAAACTGTAATATACAGAAGAGAAGAGCACAAGGACTCAACAAAGCCACAAATTGGTACTATTATAAAAATTTAACTACATACTATGTATTATGTGAGTTCCTAAGTTTTTATTATTCACATAATCAGTGAAATGAATTAAATTCATACTATGAATAATAACACTGCTTAAAAGGTGAAGAACATTGGCTGGAACCATACTTGCACTGTGTTTTGACCTCCTGTAGCTGTGTCTTATGAGAGAATGAAGTCTGAAAAACTTTTGCGTAAAAGAAAGAACTTGAAAAATGTTTCTGTTACGGGGCTTGAAATGAAGTATTAAATTATTCCTTTACTAACATGTTAATATTTTGCATTCATACAATGGAGAGCAGTTAATGAAGTGTGCTTAATAGTATCACATATATCCTAGACAGAAATACCTTTAAACCTTTTCCATTTCAGGAAGAAAAATAACTGTTATCAAATATAAGACTTTGCTTTGAGGTCAGAAAGGGAATCAGAGTAAGACTAAGAAGCATCCTTTAATCTTTTATTAGCAAAACAGGCACTGTGCACATTTTATTCTGGAGTTAATAGGAACTGTCATTAATCAATCATTTTTTTCTCTAAATACTCTTGGGGTGGGGAGAGAAAGAGAAAAGATAGAGATTTTACTGCTAAAGGACACTCCAGATGCCAAGTCATTAATGTACAGGAAATGTATTTTAATAATTTCAGGCAATTATAAAGCATTTATCAGCATAATTTAAATAACATTTTAGGTTATAATAGTCAACAATTGCAACGTTTATTTTATTTGAGATAACTGCTTTACAAGAATTTAGGCCATTCCCTGATTCCATCACTAACACAGATAATCAGCAATAAAAGGCATCTGGGAGTTTCACAATACTATTCCCTGGCCGCTCAGATATTTACAGTATAATTAGCCGTCTGCTTTAAATAAAAGCAAGCAAGAGCCTAGTATATAGCTGTCCCATGACAAAGATAGGGTGAAAAAAGAAAAACTTTAGATATTTTGCTCCAAAATCTACACTGCACAGTCCTTTATAGCTGAGAACATGGAACCAACAAAAACTTTTAAGCACAGTGAAGTTACACTCCAGCCTTATCAGCAAAGACGTGAAAAGTTTCTTTCCAGTCTTCCTTTGCCTGTGTTTTTTGCTTCTGCCTCTGGCTGAGAGCTCACTATCCCCTCAGCTGACCTACTGCCTTGCTCACTGCAGCTATGCACTTCACAGCATAATTAAAGTCATACAGATTAAACCTAGATCATTTCAGTGATCTAGCTCAGGCAGTGAGAGGCAGGGATTTCAGAGTGAAGCCTAGCAGGGATCATTACACTATTCCCTATGGACTCCACCTGGATAATCCAGGAACACAACAGGATCCAAGTTGTGCCCATGTTCACATTGCCACAAGCACTGCTGATGAGAAAATTTAGGGAAATGAAGAGCAAAAACTGGGTGGCAAAAATATTCCTTAAGCAAGAGGGATGATATTGTTTTAACACTCTTCTTGTGAAGGAAAGAGGAAATCACAACCATTTAAAATATTCGCTCCTAGGCTGCTATGTGGGAAACTGTTTTTCACTACTGTAGCAACTAAATACTTGAAGGTAAGGAATCACCCAAGCACCACATAAGCACAGCTTCACTAGGCATATTTAAAAATACAGAAAATAAAACAGATCTTGTCACAACCTTTTGCATATTGGTATTATGCTGTTCATTTAAAAGCAAATAAAAGACCTTGAGATTACTTGGTCAAAATTGCATTTCTGCTCAATGTTTTGGGATCTGACTGCTTCAGGAGCTCATAAAATGAGATTTTCTCATGGGGGGCTTCTGGCAAAAGCACTCAATAAATAAACATTTCAATAACGATAGATGCCCTTTGGGGAATTCCTCGCTGTTCATTATGTGTTGGATGAGAACATTTAAACAAAAACAGTGATTATTTGACTGCAAAATATTTTTAAAAAGCTTTTAACAAGAGGGCAACCAGCCTGGGAAAAGATTCTAAGATACATAAAATGCATCCTTGATACTTCCTAACCAGGAACTTTAAATTAGATTGATAAGATGGCATTTCTTCTGCAGCTGTCAAAGCTTCTGAAGCCCAGCTAACATTAATGTCAATTGTCTTTACATAACTCTAAATATGGAAACTCCCTAAAGTGCACACGAGTGTCTATGACCTGATGACTTGCAGACAAACCATTCACACACATCAGGAAGGGTGCCAGCAGTGAGCAGTGGAATCCCTCCTGGCAGGCAGGTTACATCATGCCAGCCCCCCACTAGCTTTGTAGGTGAAAGCAATCAGAAGTATAAACCCCAATGTCCAGGCTGAAAAGCAGCCTACATCCAAGACCTGCATATGCTGCAACTGAGATTAAAAATGTTAGGTAGTCACACTTTCAATCTAGAAAGACAATATTTTATCTCTGATTTTTTATCTATTCCCCACCCCCCAAGCTGTATGCTACTACAGTTACACCTATGTAAACTGGTAGTTGACTCTTCTGACATAAGTGCACTTACACTCACCTAAATAAGAGAAGATTGTGAGTTTTAGAAGGCATCTGGACCATACTATCATAATCACACATCATTTTTTTCTGATACTTTTTTATTTTTTTTAATAAAGGTAAGCAGTTCTGGCTTCAAGGGTAATAAACAGTAACTTCTCCCCATGAAAAATGTAAGGGCTGCTGCAATGACCTGCTGAATTTATTACTAGAAATTTACTGACTAATTACCCCCCTCTGTTAGCTGTCACAATTTCTGATTTTTTATTTTTTTTTTAATTTCAATAATGTTGCCTTCAGCCATAATAGTTTAGGGGATTTTAACAAAGACATTCAAAGCATATTGCAAATTGTCACCCTTATGTGCTGTTGTCTTACATTCTGTTTACTAGAGATGAAATAATTACAGTGTTTATACCAAAATGACTTGAACGTTGATTGCTGATTTAATAATATGCCCCCCCCTTGGATTTATATTTCCCATCTGAAGGTGGGAGGGTATACAACACGCAAATAAAGAAGCAATATTCTTTGTGCAAAATAGAAGTATTTCCTTTCATTAATTGTTTTACTAACAACATTCTTCTGATATTTTGCCTGTCAACGAGTGATCTGAATAAACAGATCCTAAGCATGATCAATATGGTGAGGTCCATATCACTTTCAAGCCGTAGGTTATAATTATACTTATGAATGACAGGATTTAAATCTCCATAAATTATGTACCCAGCTTTGCATGCCTGTTCTTTGCCCCCACATGTGTATACTTTCGTGTTACGTTATCATACAGAAGGTTTACTGTGAAATACAGTCACAGTCTATCATACCCCCTAGTGGAAAAGGATTTGAGAAGCAAGTGCCAACATGGTTATGTGTATTCTTGAAGACAGAGCTGATGCCAGATGGAAACGAATGAAGGTTCCACTGCTGTATATTAAATACCACTGTATTTAAAAGAAAAACACTAGCAGAGCACAGTATCTCAAGATTGGAGGAGGATGAGATGAGGATTGAATATTTCCAACATTAAACATTCTCTTAATGACCCTATTTCATAAAACTGAGCTTGCCTTAATAAAGCTTAGTTTTGAAATTAGAGTCACTACTTGTCTATATGTTCATTTCAAAATCCTTTAATCTCTGGAGGTTAAGAAAAGCAATTAGTAACGCTCCAGAGGATTGTGCAAAGTAAATTTTATAGCAGCTAAGGTAATTGTCTCAGGAAATGTTTGGTGGGCTTGAACTAATGACTTGCAATGTGTACACATTTCTGTGCTTACTGTGTTTAGGAATTTGAAGCTTATGTCCATTGTTTATATTGCACTGAAGCCTCCTTTTCACCTTCTCAATTTTGGAAAAATTAAAATGCTCATACTGATGTAAATGTGATATATACAGGCATATAAACATACTTACGTCAAAGCAAATTAATGGGGAAACACACATAATTAAAAGAGGTGCTTCTGTAATACAGTGTGTTTATACAACATGATTTACAGAGCAAAG